GATAGAAAGTACAATAAACTGACATGATCAGATATAATCAGAATATTCAGTATCGCCCTATATAAGCCATAAAGTGAAAGAACACAGATTATACTTCATGTGCACTTCACATCATGGACGTGCGATCTGGGGATCAGGAGCCTGAACTGCCATTTTGGAAGAAAAAGCCGTCGGCTTCAGCTACATTCATTTAAGGAAGGTTAGAGAGTGCTGGGATGCATCTGATTGAATAGTTTTAGCTCCTTTTATTTTTTTTTCCAATGCACAAGACAAGCCACAAAGTAGATTTCCCCAGGAGTAATCCCAATAGCTTCTTACTTTCTCCGACTATACATTGGAACTTACCATCACCCATCTCATCTGAGTACGGGAGGCTGAACACTGCTTCGTCGATCATGCGGTTAGGCAAGTTGGTGTAAAACCTCCCCACGGTGGTCTCCAGGTTGCTGAGCTGGTTGAGGACCATCATGCTTCCTTTGGTGATGGGCAGACCGTTCCGATCGGACACGCCATACTTGGCTGAATTCTGCTCTGCGAGGTCCCGGAGGAAGGCCAGTTCTTTCAGTCCAGTGACTCCTTCTACATGGGAGATGAGGATGTTAAACGGGTTAAGCTTTGGCATTTAGTTGGCATGTACCAAATACTCAAAGCGTAATTGAAGACAAGGAACAGTGCAGTTGTGGTCAACTTAATTGACACGGGGGGGCCTCAAGTGTGGCCGCACATATTATTCAGTCAATGTAATGCTACAGGAAGCTGTCAGACTGCAAACATGCAACAGGAGATGGTCAGAGCATGACCATGCATGCTATAGGTGTGGTTGTAGACTTGGGGCATGCTTCAGGATAGTCATAGACTGGAGAAATATTACATGGGACTGCTAGAGATGACTCCTATTGCAGCCCCTTTATAAATCAATGGCTTCACATTTCACAAAAAAAAAAACGAATGCAGCCACCATGTGTATGGACAGGTAAGCCATTATATATTACATTTTTGTCCTTCTGTTTAGATATACTTTAAAGTGACATTAAAAGGCAAAAAAAATGTTCCCTCCCCCCAATGTCAGCACTTACCTTTAATATTGTGTGTATGTATGTATATATATATATATACATACACACAAATACAAAAAAAGCTGAGGCTTTAATTATCCTTTAAGTGAAGTGTATGTACAGTACCCTAAGGAAGGAAGTCCATCTTTTTGGAGTTCTTTTCTATAATTGAACAAAGTCTACAGGCCCCATTGCTTACCGTTCATGATGGCATAGGTGAGAACCATGACCGAGTTATTCAGCTGGCTGTTTTCCTCGCTGATCACCCTCAGTGTGGTTTTCTTGTCGTCTTCTGAGGAATCCCTGGAAGTTATACCAGCCGACAGGTATATTATCGCCATATCCGTGTCTAGAGAAATAGAGGAATGAATGGAAATGAAAAAACATTGATATACATCAGAATCAAAAGAAAATATTCCCAGATACATTTTTTTTTTTTAAAATAAAAAAAGTTTTTCCTTGCCATCACTGCAATAGGGAGAAAAAACAATTTGTAGTTATCTGATACCAGACACACTCAATCCACACACTTGTATGGAGGGCGCTGTAGCGTTTCTAAAATAACAGCATTATATTGGTATTGCGTTTTAGTTCTACGTTACAAATATCTGCTGTTTAACTCCTTTGTAAGCCTCGTTTTTTAACTTTACTACTTAGTGCAGCAGTGGTCAACTCACAAGGTAAAGGGGCCCTCAACTGTGCCTTCTGGCATTGCTAAGGGGCCACACGTAGGGGTGCATTTATAAAACGTTAGAGCTGTTTGCTCTGAAAACATCTGTGATAAAGAAGAACTATGAGGTGAGTGAAAATCACTCACCTCATAGTGCGAGCCGACGTGTGACAATGAAACGATCACACGTCGGCTCAATAGATCGGGGAGTGAACACATACCGTCGCTCGCTCACTTCTCGATCATCTCCCTGCAGAGAGCAATGACTGTCAGTCACGGCTCCTGCAGGGAATCGTCCCCATCCCCGCTCCGATCCTCCAGCGCTGACTAGATAGGCAGAGCCTACTGTCACTCACGCAGCTGGCTGGATCTCGACAGTAATGTCTGGATCCGTCCCGACTGCGGTGGTCTCAGTATACCGCGAGTATACTCACTATATACTGAGCTTTGGGTCACGGGAGGATGCTAGTATATGTCCTCCCATGAGCCCTTAAGAGAACTATGGGGGAAAACACTTACCCCGTAGTTCTCTTTTAAAGCTTCGCACCACATTCCAACGCTCTTTGGCTCTATCTAGTGGCCAAAATGCAGTGTGAGTCTACAACACAGTCCACTTCGCAATGTCAGAGGGCACAGTTGAGGGCCCCTTTATCTCCTGAGCTGACCACTGCTGCACTACGTTGTGAAGTAAAAATGAGGCCTACAAAAGGAGTTAAACAGCAGCTCCCATAATGCTACCAATGGGTTCCATTTAAAAAAAACAAGCTAACTTCACAACTGTTTCCTTGTGTTTACAGAAAAAAAAATACATATAAAGTATATTTCCATAACAGAAAATGTGACGCGTGATAAATCACTCACATGGAGGAGTTTATGGGGCAGAATAAGACTGAAAGGAAAGTGCGGTGTCCTTCCAAATAACCATCAATTACTACGAGCATTTATATACGGTAACAAAACCTCCTGCCAAAAACGGATACTTTTTTTTTTTTTTTACTTCCTAAAATGAAAACAGTTGAAAATGGAAAAAGGTTGGCGTGTTCCTGCTTTGTGCGCCGTGCCAAAAACGCAGCAGAAATGCAGGATATAGCAGAACAGATCCGCTGAATGAACAATGGGGGATTTGCCTTCGGCTTGCCACATCCATTCTTACAGGTAAAGGGGTGGGAATGCAGAGAGGTTTTTCTTGCAAAGGCGTCAATTCACAAAAGCCTGACGCGTGGGGTGTTCTCATGTCCTTAAATTGTGTGTAAAACGTTAATTGCAGGTTCCCCCTTTCCAACCTTCCCTTGCTCCCTCCCTACTTCGCTCCCATTCACTCTCTTTTGAAGCAGTCTTGTACTCACCTCCCATTCACTCTCTTTTGAAGCAGTCTTGTACTCACCTAAGTCCGCTGTCCATATCACTCGCCAGCACAGCTTCCGGCTGTGACCCAGCAATGCAGCTAGCGACAACACTAACTTGATAATGACATCACTTCTGGACCCCCCTTACTGGACAGCCAATAGGGGGTGTCCAGAAGATTACATAATTGTAAAGTATTAAACCAGCACACCATGGTTCAATCTTCAAGCATTGTCCTCTGTGGTGGGTGCTGTAGTGACTGCGGGTGGCGCCAATTCAGATCCAAATAGTCGCCCGCAGTCACTACAGCACCCACCACACGGGACATACCAGTAAGAACTGCCGTAGGATTCTTCTGCATTTACAAAATGACATGGACACCTAAAGAGGCCCCCTTCTTCTCTGCAATGAATATTGCAGAGAGGGGGTTTCAGCTGGACTTAATACATGATCATCATATTAGTCACATAAAAAGTCAATTTGCAAGGATTACTGCTCAGGATACTTCATTACAGCTTTCACTGACCGTCTAGCACGACATTAAAGCTGCAGTTTCATTTGCTTATAATTTGCCATCCTGGGTTCCTCTCTGCCCCTTAACATGCCAATGAATTTTTTGGATAAAACGTTTCCGTTTTTATATACATGCCTTATTTTAGACTCAGTGATGTCATCAGTGGGTCTCTATGAATGCAGATCATGGCTGGTAGGAGGGGCTGGCTGGGCACTGTACATGGCTTCCTGAAAACATCACAGCACCCTGCTTCAATATTCCTCTCAAGAGCCCTCAGCCCTGATGAAAGCAGTGGGCTGGGTCTTGGGAGGAGTTATGCAAATATTAAAATGCCTTGAAGGGTGGAGATCAGCCTGGAGGAGTGGGCGTTCCTAGAAAGGCCGCATTTGCAGCTAACACCCAAATGTAATTGCTGAGCGCCTGCTGGGTGCCTCCCACAGCTCTCATTTCTGCATAGGCTATGTGCAGCACATTGATGGTGTCACTGCTACTTTCATACGTTTATATCCAGGTTTGCAAGGGCATTTGGTGCACACGGAAAGGAATACATTTCAATAAAAGTTTTTGTGCCAGGAGTTCAGCTTTAAGTTCAGATTTCCCCAATGTAGCTGATGAGGTATAGGGAGCTGTCGGAGTTTAGCTGTTCCACTTCTACCACAAAAAAACAAAGTACAGTAAACTCTCAGTGATCCGGTATTCAACTAACCAGAACTCTCATCTAACCAGAAAAATAAATCCCCCCGTGTACTCACTGTTCTGTGGCATGTATTATCCTGGAAACGGTCGCGTGTCTGTCTTAATTTGCTTTTGATTACTGCATTTCAATAGAGTTTATGCTATGGTATGGCATAGCACGGGGGGCGTGGCATGGCATAGCACGGGGGGCGTGGCATGGCATAGCACGGGGGGCGTGGCATGACAAGGGGGCGTGGCATGGCACGGGGGGCGTGGCATGGCACGGGGGGCATGGCATGGCACGGGGGGCATGGCATGGCACGGGGGGCATGGCATGGCACGGGGGGCATGGCATGGCACGGGGGGCATGGCATAGCACAGGGTATGACATTAGTTAGACCTATTTTTATTAGCAACTCCAGCAACCAAAAATTACATTTATCCAGAATCTACCAATCCCCATGGATGCCAGATAACGGGGAGTTTACCGTATTTGTTTTTCCTGGATTGCCCCTTTAAAGTGACTTTCTAAATTCTGCTCAGACCTGCTCCTGATGCAACCACAGGGAAGTAATAAATTCCAATGCTCTTTCATTGTGTGCCAGCTCAGGATTCTGTGTACCTTCTGCAAACACCACGTCAGGGATCGGCTGCCTGCGGACTTCATAAACTTGTTGTCAGTCTGGACAAACAGATGGAAGACTAATCTCTGCGAGGTATGAATTTCTCACAGGAGGTCGGAGCTGCAAGCCTTTCCCCTTCTCCCAGCTAAAGGCAAGAGGAAGCTTGCTGGGAGAGATCATAGTAACGGCACCGTCCGTCTTTCTTGCGTCACCTCTGCCCTCCGATGAGGGAAATATCGCCACTTTGTTTACTTTTTAGAGCGTTTCTTAATCCGAGGCCTAAAGACAACTGTGAACGATGCCACTTCCATAACCGAGCAGTCAATTATACCACTCTATATGGCACGCCCAACACCCAAAACCCCTCCAACATTACATTTTGCCTTTGGGCTTGTCATGTGAGTAGTGGGGGGTCCTTCATCTTCTCTATCACCATTGCTGGTGGGCCAATCCTCAATGTTGCAGAGAAGTTCTCTGCAGCAATTTTCCTGGAAGTTGAGGGCGCATGAGGACACATCCTCACAGGGGTGTACCCATGGCAGCCTAGGCTCAGAGCAATGGGGATGGAAGATGCTAGGTGTCATACGGCCCGAAGGGGACTAGTAGGCAAGAAGAACAGCGCTGGCATGTGGTGAGGGCGCGTAGTGACCAGAATCAAGTTTTAAAAGCAAACCTATCATGAGAAAAAGACCTGAGCCGCCCCTGTTTATAGCCTTCTGAACATGCTAGCTTCCTGTTTGTCATACTATCCCCCGGCTTCAGTATTTTCTGAATCAATGACCTGGAACAAGTACGCAGGAGTTCTGCAGTCAGGTCACTTTACTCAACTTTCTGTATCATTGTGCTGGGTCTGAGTGATTGAGCAAGTATTAAAAAGGAGAACTATGAGGTGAGTGATTTTCACTCACCCTCATAGTTCGAGCCGACGTGTGACAATGAGACTGTCACACGTCGGCTCAGTAGATCGGGAAGTGAGAGAACACATACTGTCGCTCGCTCACTTCTCAATCATGTCCCTGCAGAGAGCGGTGACTCACTCACAGCTCCCTACAGGGATTCCCCCCCCTCCCCTGTCCGATCCTCCAGCGCTGACTGGAGGAACGGACGGGGGCAGGTAAAGCTGACTCTGCCTCTAGATAGTTAGAGCCAGCTGTCAATCACGCAGCTGGGTGGATCTCGACAGTATGTTGGGATGCGTCCCGACTGCGGCGGTCTCAGTATATCGCAAGCTGTAGCTCGCTATATACTGAGCTTTGGGTCACGGGAGGACGCTAGTTTATGTCCTTCCGTGACCCTTAGGAGAACTTTGGGGAAAAACACATACCCCATAGTTCTCCTTTAAGGCTAAAGACAGCCCAGTACCCTCACCATTGAGAGCTTTCCTACACTTCCTGTTGTGTCTCCAGTAGAGGAAGTAATGGGATTTCCCCAACGGGGCACACAAAATTCACAGAGGGTCACAAACAAACAATCTCTACTGTAACCAAAACTAAGAAAATTAACAGAAAATCTTACTTGGCTGAATCCTTGTGCCATTGTTGGTGCTTTTGATGAGCTGGAAAGCTTTCTGGAAGCCGTGAGCATGCTGAGTGGGGCTGTCCGAGGACTTCATACTGGCCAGGAAGCTGGCCATCTTTCTCTTGGTCTCGCTGGTGGCCGGGGACAGATATGTCTTATAGCACTGATCCAGGGAGCAGGTCCTCACCATGTCCGCCACAGTCAGGACAGAAATCTGGGAGGAGGCAGAAGAGTTCCAGTGTTATAGAGTACCGGTCACCACCAATACCGGCAACCGTTTTGTGAGTGGACATTGTTTCAGAAACCACCAAATATTTTCAGAAATTTTGACGACAGAAAATTGGAACCCAGCAAATTGACTACAACCACTGTCTATGGTTCACAGGTTTGATTTAAATATAAGCGGTCACTCTAGAAAACAAAGCAAAAGAGAGAGCAGGGAAAAGTGATTTGTTATTATTTGATTTGTTATTATTTGCTCTAAATACAAATCTTTTCCTGTATGTTTGAGTTGAGGGCAGATCTCGACCATCTTTAGAACCCCTCAGGTTTGCATATTAATAGGGCAGAAAATTATAGATCACACAGTTTTATATTTGTTTTTATAAACATTGAAAACATGACAAAGGATTCTCAGCGTTCTGTGGGTTAGCTGAAAAGAGGACTATAGCCATCCTTTTTTAAAAATCTTTATTCCTCTTTTGGGTCACAGGAGTAGATTTGACCCAAAGTCAGCATCCAGTGGTCTACTGCCCCCTATTTGCTGACAGCGCAGAGCTTCCTTGCGTCAGCAAGGAAAGTTACATAGTCAGGTTGAAAAAAAGACATGTCCATTGAGTTCAACCTGATAATATTGTCGGGATCCACCAAGCTACATGATTTAGGGCTGCAACCAACTAATCGATTATGAGAATAGTTGACAACTATTCTCATTATAGATTAGTTGGCTGGATCCCCTAGCTCTCTCCAGGGTGCAAAAGCCAGCCGGCTATTGCAATTTCAAATGGCCAATAGCAGGCTGGCTATTGCACCCACCCACTACCTGCTGTATTTACATTCAGCTGGCGCCGGCAGAATCTTGTTACTGGCAGCTGTCATTCCCGGGCTGAATCTATTCAAGCTCCATGTGCTTACAATACAATTATTTTAAAAAATTGCATTGCAGTGCCAATGATTTCAATGGGTCGCCAAACGCGCCCTCCACCCACAGTGTGATCGCCCGCACTGGAATGCACGGTACTGCAGTGCTGAGCGTTCCAGTGGCGTACGATTGCAAAAAATTGTGCAAGCCGTTTTATTCTGAAGTAATCTTTATGTTTGTAACACTGCATTTGTGTATTTTTAATTAAGGATGGTATTTCATTTTTTAATCCGATTATTCGAAAAAAAAAATAATCGCCCAACAAATCGATTATGAAAGTAATCACTAGTTGCAGGCCCAGCCTGATTGACATCTGTCTCTCTAGAGCCAAAGCCAGCTGTGCCCGCCCCCTCCCAAGTTAGTCTCCCCCAGTGAGGTTTGGAGGAACAGAGTGGGGAGGGGGAATCCCTGTGGCGGTGGTGACGGG